GGGCGGGGAAGCCCCTGTGAGGCCGGTTGGTGCCATAGCTCCGGTTTCTGGCGTCAAGGAGCATCGCGTCCCCTGCCTGTGGGTCACACTTGTGCTGGTTCCTGGAGCTTTCCTGTGCAGGGGGCCTCCAGCTCCAGGCGGCCACTGCACCGCTCAAGCCAGGGGCAGGAGTGTCCAAGGCCCGACTTGGACAGGGCCTGGGGACAGGTGGTGAGTGGTCACTGCCAGAGGGCAGGGGGGCCACAGAGCCCCCCATCTGTCCCTGCCCTGCAGCCTCAGGCCCCTTGCCCCTCCCAGAACAGTTAAAGGGGAAGTAGCCCAACCCCGGGGGGCCAGGTCCTTTCCTTTCTTTCATTTTCTCTTCTCTGTCCTAATAAAGGGACCCCCCAAATGGGGGTTCTTGAACAAGCATCAAGCCACCGAGAGATCCCAGCCTGTCTGCTGGTGGGCGTGGGGAGCCGGGAGCCCCTTCTCCCCTCTCTGTGGGCCGGCGTCCACGTGGCGGTGAGTCGAGGAGGCTGCACACAGCACACTTGGCTCCGCTGAGTTTCTGCAGCGATTGTATAATATTTTCCATATCGTTCCCCGCTCTTCTTTTAAAGACTGTAACACCCTGGTCATTTTTAAAAAATGGATGTTCCAACCAGACCGAGGCTGGCTGGTCTTCGTTAACCGCCCTCCCGACCGCCTTCCCCGGCTGCCGGTTTCCAGGCCCCGGGGCCGCGGGAGCCCAGGCAGAGGCGGGTTGGAGGGATCTGAGGCCTTGACTTTGCTGCTGGGCCTGGCTGCCTGAGGCTCTGTGCGCTGCTCTGTGGGCTCGTCCCGGGTTGTCCCCATCGGAAGCCTCTCCCTCGGTGTTCAACCACTTTTCTGTTGATTCAGCGAAGATCGCCGGGGGTGCGGCCCACACTCCCCGCCTCTCTGTGGTGTGAAAGACCAGAAGGCCACGTAGTTGGGGTCAACAGTAGGTAGCTTTCCGCAGCGGGTCCTTGCACGTAGCAGTACGCGCTGAGGTTCCTTCGGGTCTTTTCATGGCTGGATGGCTCGTTTCTCTTCGGTGGTAAATAATATTCCACTGTTTGGATGGACCGCAGCTCATCCATCACCCTCTGCAAGACGTTTTGGTTCCTTCCACGCTTTGGCGGTTATGAACGAAGTCCTGTCTTCTTGTCCTTATTAATTTTATGTTACACGTATTAATTATTAAATTACGACATTGTTATGTTACATTGTTACATTAAATTCTCCAGTTCCGAATGGGTGATAGCGAAGGCTTCACATGATCTCCAGGCCGAGCCTGGATATAAATAAATGAATGAGTGACTGACACCAAGCTCCGTTGTAAGCTTGGTGACACAGAGCTTTATGGCTTATGCTGAGCACAAAAACGGGCGCTTTGTCAGAAGGACAGGCCAGTCTTGACCACAGGCCGCCCGGCCGCTCGTCTCCGTCACGATCCCTTCTGTCTTGAGAGTTGAGTCCTCCGTGTCCAGGCCTCCAGGAGTCAGGGATGGGTCACCCCTCCGTCCACCCTGCCGCCCAGGCCACCTCGTGCTCTTGGCTGTGTGGCACTGATGGGGCTTCTGTCTTACCTGTTGCTTCAAGGGATTGCCTGGGTCTTGGGTTCTTTGTTCCCAGAATGCCCAGCAGGTGCAAATGGAAAAGAATTTGAAAACTAATGTGCTTGGAGCTGAGCAGGCGTGCGGTTCGCACCCATCTGTCCCATCTATTTTCCTGTCCAGGGACCCCCACCCCCTGGGGCAGAAGACGGATGGGCAGTGGGCCTCCTGCTCCTTTCTGGGTCTCAGGAAATAGCCGCTTGCTGTCAGCTGGGAGGCGGGCGTGGCCCAGCTTCCCGCCAGGGCTCCTGTTTGCTTGGTTATTTTGGCCGGCTTACGGCTGCCAATACTGTCTCCCTGGCAACTCCGGAGGAACTTGGCCAGGCCTCTGGGTCTGGCTGGAGTCTCCCCAGCAGCCGGCCACCTCCAGCTCGGTGCAGGCCAGTCTGCGCCCTCCGCATGCGTGACCGGTGGCCTTTCGTCGCTCATCGCTCCCTTGTGCAAGGGATGTCCCTGGAGGCATCTTGATTCTCAAGCCTCTTTCAGCAGCCGTGAGGGTGACGTGAAGAGCCCTGGAGCCCCGCTCCTGTGCAGGTCAGCCCTGCCGCGGACGCCGGGTGCGGGTCCTGCCTCCGGAGCACTGGGCACTCAGAGGGGGGCCGGGACCCTTGAGTTTCAGGACAAGCACCTGCCTCTTTCATACGAGCAGCCCCACCATCCTCAGGGATGTTCCGTTAGGGACGGCTGTTTGTGTGGAGGGTGTTGTAATTCTGTGTTACGTTGGTCAAAGGAAGACCACGGCTAGTGAGGATCAACCTGACGGTTTTAGCTTCTTGAAAACAGGGACTGAGAGGTAAGGACCTAAGGTGGTCCAGGCTGAGACCCTCGGAAGGGCCTCGGGGCTCACTTACAGGACATTCCTCGGGGTGTTTGCCGCTGTATGGAGGCTGCTCTGTTGGGCTTCTCATGGGCGGCTTGTGGGGCCAGCGGTGCCCTTGGAAGCTGCCCTGTCACCTGTGGGGCCTGCACAGTCCCCTTGCCCTCAGGTAGCGCTTCCCTCGCTGCTCAGTAAATAGGTTTCTATGCAGGTCTGGGCATCAAGCATGTTTTGGTTTTGTTTTGTTTCCATTACCTGCAAATTATAATCTTGCCACATGGGCACCGGCCAGCCTGCTCCGAGGACAGGGGTCCTGCCAGGGGTTTGGGAGGACGGGGCCTGGCAGTCACTCAGGTCAGTTCTATTTCTAGCCTCGTGTCCTGCTCCTCAGCTCCAGCAAACGCTAAGGGGACGGCCCCTCAGATGAAAACGAAATGTCAGTGTGTCTCTCAGTTTATGAAGGACCGCAGGACGCTCAGGGGCCAGAGCGATGATTCCTGCTGGAAACGCCTGCTTGGGGGACACGTGGCCCCACGTGTGCACAACGTCAGCACCGTCCCGCCTTCCCTCCGTCACAGCGGTGGAAGGGCAGGACGGTGGTCCTGGGGATCCCAATAACGCCAGATGCCACTGGCCTTAAGAGAAAGCACATGGATAAATTTTTGGTGCTGATTCAGAGATAATAAAATTGTATGGTTGTGAAATAAATTATTTCTCAGAATGAGATAAAATAATTCCTACACCCCTGTCTTGCCGGATTTGCAGAGCATTGAATTTGCGGCCGGCGCTGGACCAGCCTGGGAGCTGAACCACGCCCATGCCGGCCACCAGGCCCCACAGCTGCCCACGCTGGGTCCATCTTCTTGCTCCAGGGTGCCGGGCACTGTGCTCTGCTGGGTTGGGCGGGGGGCTTGGTGCCCGAGAACTGGGAGAGCGAGGGGCAGGCCGTTCCTGTCTTCCTGGGGTGAGCCTTGGTTTTATTACTTTTATTATATAAACCATTTTGAATAGGCTCCCTGTGTTTGCTTAAGCTCCTGCTGCTGCTTTGTGCTCACCTGCACTGTAATTTAATGAGCCCTCCTGGGCAGGTGGCCAGGTGCCCAAAGCACCCACAGAAAGTGACTCGGATGGGTGTTGAACCCTTTGGTGGCTCCCGACATGACGTGAGTCAGCCTGACCATCTCAGGATTGTTAAGAAAGTTGCTGGAAATATTTTCATTCCATGTAAATGGGATCCCTTTGAATAGTTAAATAATTCAGACTCGAATGCAGTTTCGATTGGTAATAAAACCAAATGCAGTGGAGCGGGGCGGGCGGGGGGCTTGGCCCTGGTGGGGTCGCTTTTGTTCTGAAGAGAGAACATCATCAGCTCGGCTGAGGGTTTGTGGGGAGGCCCTTTCGGGGCCTTCGTTTCGAAATTTGTCTGATTAGTGAGAACTCGTGCCTAGGAGAGCCTTGTCTTTGTGGTTTTTCTCTTTGTCATTGGTTCGGATGAAGCCCCTTCCCGGGAAGTTCCGGTTGCCAGTGGACCCCACGCTCACCCAGAACAGTCAGACCCCTCGTGCTGGGCCCCCCCCCC